CACACACACACACACACACACACACAGACACACACACACACACACACGGGTATTACTTATGTATTTTATTTTAAAACATGAAAATATATTGAGCTTGTGTTAACCATAGACCTAATTTCACGCATCGGATATGATGTCATTCTAATAGCTAGTTATAAAATATTGCCAGTTTACCTAAATGTAATTAATTTAATTGCTCAAATTGTTTCTCAAAGCTCTGCCATTACAATAGAAGACTGCCTAAACGTAGAAGACGACAGCTAGCTAATACCCGCTATCGCTCCCTCTCGTGGCAACACTGAGAATGCAGTGCATACTTATGTTGAAATGAAAATGTCTGGGTTCACGTACTTGTGTACAGTACGCGTTGAGCCAATGATATTTCTGGATCAGACACACATGGCCTGGAACCAAACATCCCTGAAAATATTTGTTCATCTTTGTTTAAAACATGAAAATTTCTTGCTCTCTATACTTTGCATTTTAATCTTATTGGCCGTGTTTGTCTCAACATGCTGCCATGGACCGAATTCTCTGGCTGAGAGAGCTGTCAGTCAATCAATATTATGTTTTCCGCTCCCTTCATGCTTGTGCTGCCCGTACGGATTGAGCAAGATAGGAAAAACGACCCCAAGATTACACAATTAAGTTTCCCATGCACGGTTAGCGCCTCAGCCTCGCATCTGCATCTCTAATTTTGGCTACCGAGTGCTAGTTAAGAGCCTGAGGGAGAGAGAGAGACTGAGGGAAGACAAGAGAAGGAAGATATTGAGATTTAAAGATAGAGTAAGTGAGTAAGAAAAGGGCAGATGGAAAACACCCCAGGCTTAGATGAAGAGAGAAATAGAATTAGCGATATATGTTGAGAGAAGGCTGTGAAAAGCTAGAGGAGTGGAGAAATGAGAACCAGGGAGGTAGTCTTACGGGGAAGAGAGAAGCCCGACTTCCCTGGAAGAGGTTAAAAGCAGGCAGTCGGCGGCCCTCATCAGTCATTCTCCTGAATGGGATTTGAGGACAATAAACCTGTAGCACCCGGACGAATGGAGACGGAGTGCGCTGTCAGCAGCGCACGATTTATGGTGCCCAATTCCGCTGATCTCCCGCACAGAAACTCGGACTGATAAACAGTGATTAATCACCTTTACATCCGATTTCAGCACCGCCCCTCCCCCAACAAAGTACATTAAATGCAGTCATAATTATTTCACGTGAAAGCTTCCCTCTTTTTAGAACGGTGGGAGGGAAACGAGGGGCAACACGTGGGTGTCCGTTTCGGCCATTTTGGAAGGTTCCTTATTTAGTAAGCGAAATCTTATTTCCATTTCCATTTTGTCGCCTCTCCACCGGTTGCCCCCTGGGGAACAGTGGAGGCATATGGTGTCATTTAGGCTTGGCGAACTTTAGAGGCATGTTAAGACGACTTGAAAAATTAGCATCCAATAAATCAAGCGACGCCGGTTCCCTGAGCCAAGCTGCTGAAGTGCCTGACCACGGTAAATCTGATTTGATGGGATGTTTTGAGAAGTTGTATGTTCACATGGGAGGCATGGAGGTGTTATTTGTTGTGATTAGAAAAGGAATCACATGCATGTTTCAGAGCATACTTAGGGGTCAAAACATGCATAAACATTTTACATGCACCGGATTGCTAGGCATCTTTGCATTTTTACGCGCACTACATATGCATATTGTGCGCATTCGATTGTGAGGATTCATGTAACGACTGTGTTGGATTGTGCGTTTATGCATGCCAGAACCAAGGAAGGGAGGGAGGAAAGGGAGGGGGAAAAAGTCAGATAAAAATGATAAACAACTGCTTTCTGTCACCGATGGTTATTTAGAGTTTTGCTGTAAAGCTGTCCTGAAATGAACAGATTTTAGTCTAATGAGCAAAAGGGCAGGCCGTTAAAGAGCTGCTAGGTGCTCAGCACTTCTTCCAAATGAAATACTGTAATACCATTTCCCCCTCATTAGGATGCAAAGGGCTCAAAGAACTCACAGCAATAAAGAAATCAAAGACCGAGAGGGCAAACAACAGCACAAAAAAGACAACAAGTCAGTCAAACAAAGACGGTTCCTAATCTGCGGTTCAGAAAACAGTCCGTACCACTGTTTCATCTCAGTGGGAAATGATGAATTGGGTTTTCAATTATTATAAAATTTGATCTTTGACCAAAATGAAGATAAAGAATGAGAATTTATGGTTGTGTTCATAGTTATTATTCACAGTTAAATACGAAAACAAGCGGGATTAATTAAAAAAAGCCCACATTAATCAAACAAAACATTTAACAAAAAACAGTCCGTACCACTGTTTCATCTCAGTGGGAAATGATGGCCTGGCTGATTATCACATTGTCAAATGCTCTGTGCAGGATGGGAGAACTGGGCCGTGATTTAAAATCATTTCATAAGTGTCTCTCTGAAGCGCCTGTGTCTGAATTTGATCCAGAAATCAAAGCACATCTGACGAACAGTGAATCAAAGTAAGTATCCGAGCGGGGCCCTGTGACCACAACACTCAAATGCAGTTTACCTGCATAAAATTCAGGACCATAGACAGCTCCCAAATAGTTTCTAATGTATATAATGTAATTAAATGAATACATTTTACGTATACATTTGGGGCCACTGAATGTTTTTACAGTGAAAAACAAAAGCTCTTACCGTTTGTATATGGGTTGGCCACTTTTTTGTTTGTCATCTGTTTCTCGATCTTTCGCCGATTAATTCAAGGGACTGGCAGGAATTTGAAAAGAAACAGCAGAGATTCGGAGAAAAGAACCAAAGAAAAGGGGGAGGAGGGAGAGGAGGAGATGTGATATGACGGGAAAATATTTAAGACGACATTAAGTTGAAGGAGTTAGGGGGCGGCAATATCGGGGTATTCGGAAGAGTGCGAGCGATATAGGTTGCGAAAGGGAGAGGGAGAATGAGAGACAGAGCAAGAGAGTAGTGAGTGCTGTCCGGTGTGCTGTCAGTGATAGATGTGGGCTGTAAAATAGCCTCCTCTCACTCCCCATTGACTGTGACTGAAGTAGAGCTGGGGGGTCTACACTGCTGCTGATATATTTGATTCTTTGATTCCCCCTCTCTGTCTCTCTCTCCATTGCAGTCTGAGGGAATGAGCGTCAGCAGAAGAGCTCAGGACCCCACCAAGACCCCTGCGCTGAATGAGCCACCTCTCTACTCTGATCCCTATCAGCTAAGCTTTCCCCCCGGAGCTCCCGAACAGCATAAGGAGAGCTGTAAAGGAAGAGATCACTCTTTATATTAAGCCTCTTTTTAGAGGGAAATAAAATGGACATTACATCATTCATATTAGACTTGATGAGAGCTTAAATGAGCAGCCCTAAAAAGAATGTGAGAAATTTAAACTGCATTAGATAACAAAATATCAAAACAAGTGAAATTACCTTTAAAGAACTAAAACATTTCACAGTTTAAAAATTATTTTTTTTTTTTACAATTATTTAAAAAAATAATACAAATAATAATTTTATATAATAATTTATAAAAATTATAAATAATTTGGTTTTAAATGAGTAATCATATATATGAATA